TTTTCCGCCTGGCTCCCAATACAAAGTGAATGACTTCCGCATGCTTTGTACGCTTTGTACGCGTTTGGTCTGAACGTACAGTAACACCCCAACTGCCAATCAATATTTTATCATATATAATATTGTGCTTTATGACTTTCTGAGCTGGGACTGTGTGAGAAAAAAAGAAATGATGTTAATGAAGTTAAGTTAGTTACTGATTTGCAGTTTCTCTTCTTTCACCAGGTGAACATGGAGACAGCCAGGTTCTTTAAGTCCGACTTTGAGGAGAACGGTTCCATGGACAACGTCTGTTTGTTCCTCAACCTCGCCAATGACCCCACGTATGTATGACCTTTTACCCATCCCCTTCTTTTTACTTATAAAAGACTTCATTTGGAATATGTTGGATGCTAAAATATAAACGGACACTGAAACTGAATGATCATAAAATCGTTTTTTATCTGTTGAAATTTTCAGTTTCAGAGACCTTGGTACACTTCTTACTAATTGATCTTTTTAAGTCCCGCCCCTTTTTGCTCAGTACTCCAATGACAGTAGAGCCTCAGTCAGATTCAGATTTTGATCAAATAAATGGCGATATGTCACATCTTAAGTTCCTAATGTTGACAGAAAGCGAGCATTAAGCCTTAGCAGCAGGTAGCTAGATTACATTAACATTAGCTAAACTAAGATGTGACTATATATCAAACTGTCAGTTATATTTTAATCAGTTTCAATTTGGTTGTTTTTTCAATATCTAAGTACAGAAAGGAAGTTCCAAAAGGGGCGAGACTTAGAAAGGGTATTTTTACATACCAACTTCAGATTTGTTACTCTAGGAGCCAGAAAATGTAAAGTTTGTAAATGTCAAAAGTTCATTTTAACTTAATTTTGCATAGATAAATGATTGAATTCAGCTATTCACATCACACATAGTACAAGAGTCTTCTTCAAATTTGGACATTATTCATGGTTTTGTGATGTTTACAATAGAAGATATTAAGCATTAAGTTATATAAAACAGACAGAAATAAAATGACCAATCCAGAAACAGGTTAAACTTCCTTGTTTATTGCAGCATCGAGCGAATCATCACGCCTCGTTTAGCTCTGACATCAGCAGAGTATCTGGCCTATCAGTGTGAGAAACACGTCCTCGTCATCCTCACTGATATGAGCTCCTATGCAGAGGCTCTCCGAGAGGTCAGTCGCTGTTTCAGTGCTTTTATTCTGAAAGGACTACAGAAAATTGTTTATTTACTCACCTGTGTCGCTCTCATCCAAACCCAGGTGTCTGCAGCCAGGGAGGAGGTGCCGGGCCGGCGGGGTTTCCCCGGTTACATGTACACGGATTTGGCCACCATCTACGAGAGAGCTGGCAGAGTAGAAGGACGTAACGGCTCCATCACCCAGATCCCCATCCTCACCATGCCCAATGACGGTACTCACACTCAACCACAACTCATAATGCTAATGATATAATAATGAATATTGTTGTTACAGTGTGTTCTCGTGTCTCTCAGATATCACTCATCCTATTCCTGACCTGACTGGGTACATCACTGAGGGACAAATCTACGTGGACAGACAACTTCACAACAGACAGGTAATGAAGTCCAGCATGGAAAGGTAAGGCCTCAAAAAAATATTTTATACCCAATATATGCTCAAGATGTGGACTCGCATGGAGTCAAGAATCTCATGACTTTAGACTCAATAAAATCTTTGGGACTTGACTTGTGACCTCACCTCACTCGGACTTTGGACTTGTTTATCTGGAGAGTTGTTAGTCTTGACTTTGGACTTTTCCTGGTAATTGTTGGTCTAATATGGGATGTTGGTGTTAACTTTGTACTTGTCTTGGTATGTAGTTGTTGGTCCTAACATGGGACCTGACTTGAAACTCGTTAGTCTTGATTTGGGACTTATTGACTTTTTGTATTAACATAAACAATAAAAAACAACACGGACTGTCTGTGGGAATTAAATCCCCCTCCAGTTACGTCCCTCTGGATGCAGGAGGGACTTGTGCGAGCAGCTGGTCACTGACTGTATTTGTAGGAGACCTCCTCACCGATTATTGATCACTGATCATGTTGTGGTTTAGATCTATCCTCCCATCAACGTGCTGCCGTCTCTCTCCCGTCTGATGAAATCTGCCATCGGCGAGGGAATGACCCGCAGGGACCACTCTGATGTTTCCAACCAGCTTGTGAGTTCACACACACTTCCTGTTTCATACTGCACGTGCTCGCCTTTACCACCCCGCTCTGAGAGAGTGTGTGTGTGTGTGTGTGTGTGTGTGTGTGTGTATGTAGTATGCGTGTTATGCCATAGG